CCGTGGTCCTCTCTCTGTCCAGCTGCACTGGCTGCAAAAACTAACTTCTGCAGGTGCCTGCCGCGCCCTCCTCCCGCCGCCCCCCCAGATCTGTGAGCAAGAGGAGGGAGTGGAAAACCTAGAACCCGACTCCAGTTAGGCCTGGGGTCATCCTGGGACCGGGAGAAAGCAGGTTAGGGCGGACACCTGAACTGCCAGGTGCGTGCTCCGAGAGAGCGAACATCTGGGGAGGTGCAGGCTGAGGACAGGCGCCTCCCCGCCCTCCCTCACCCCCCCCCCTCCGTGCTGAGGTTTTTTGCCAGCCCCTGCGCCGGTTTGGTCAGTGGTCTGCGGGGGCTCACAGCTGGCTCCCTGGGCTCTGGGGAGAGGCCTCCCCTCCAGGGACTCTGCTGCTGGGAGATGGTGGAGAAGTAGGTTTGAGGCAGGTGCCCAGATACTTAGCTCGAGGTGAAGTCCTGGGGGAGGGTTTGTGAAGGGAGCTAGAGAACCAGGAGGACCTCTGGTGAAGAGGATGAATTGGTGTCTTATACGTTAAAAGTGGAGCGGATACAGGGGCCAGAATTCAGAGGAGAAAATGAAAATGGACGTTTCTCTTTCTTGCTTTATTGGGAATTTTCCTTTCTTAGGAGATGTCTCTGAAAAGGAAACCTAAACTGGGACTCAGCTCAGGATGCTCCCGTGAGGCCCTGGGGCGTCTGGACTTCTGAGACTTAAGGGGAATTTGTTCCCTTTCTGTGCATTGGGCTTAGGGCTCCCACCTACCACTTTTGTCAAAGAGAAATGGCAAGAAAATAAACAGCTTGATATCTGTCATTACCCATCCTGGGATCTTGGGTTCTTGCAAATGTTGTTGGGTAGATATAAGTGAGCCAGAGTAGTTACCAAAGCTCTGCCAAGGAGCAAGGGACTCTGTGAAGTGCCATAGACTGTTTCTCTGCCGTAAGACAGCAAGGCCTGTATCACACAACACAGTTGGGACCTGCCCTGCTCTTAAGATGTCCAGAGAAAAGGAGAGCCCACACACCCAGTCCTGGGCACTGCTGGATTATTATGAAAAATTTTAAAAACCTAAACCTCTTCTCTCACCATCAAAAGGAGAGATCTGGCCCTGGCCGGTGTGGCTCAGTTAGTTAGAGCATCATCTTGTACACCGATTGATGGTTCTCTCTCACATGATTGGTGTTTCTCTCTCACATGGATGTTTCTCTCTCTCTCTCTCCCCCCCGCCCCCCTTCCTTCTTCCCTCCTGCCTCTCTCTCTTTCTAAGTCAATAAGCATGTCCTTGGGTGAGGATCTTAAAACACACACACACACACACACACAAGATCTGTATAGAAATCGAAAACGTTTCTCTTTTTATTCATTGGTAGTATCATTCATTAGTCTTCCTTAAACAACACAAAACTATGTCCATGTTTTTTAACTTTTCCTCAATGGCCATATTTCCTGTTTTCTTCACTTTTGTGTTTTTCTGTTTGAAACAAAAGTGCTCTTGACATAAATACATGCTTTGGTTGGGACTTTTACATATAGTAATAATTTCATTCTAAACTAATCAGTATGAATGGAATTTGTGGCAGAAAATCTTATAAGTGATTATATCCATTTTTGTTGGGTGCAAGTCTGTGTGCATTCCTTCCTGCATGTTTCCAGATTGTTTACTGTATTTTCAGTGGTTGGAATTAATGGATAGCTTTTGAATTTCCAGGATTGTTCCTTTATTTTTCTTAAATGAAGTTCTTGTAGCCTTCAGGGATATTCTGTTTCTATCACAAGGTTCCCAAAATAGCCATTAGTGAGTTTGCTCTTTGGCACCTGTTCATTTCTTAGTTCCTGCAAGAAGCTTGGCTCAGCTCAGTTGATTGGACTATATCAAGTTTTTAAAGTTCATCTTCCATCAAGCTCTTATTATCCAGTTTCATCTTTTATCCCTTGGCTGTCTCCCTAACTCCCTTAGGAATATCAACCCTTTCCATTTTCATGGGAACTGTTGATATGAATTTGTTCCAGGTCACAATTTGGGTTCGCAGCAAAAATGCTTTCAGAACAGACAGCAGCCCTAGGGCCAGGATGGGAGTCGATGAATGTCCAGCTGGATGGAGCAGAGCCCCAGGTGGAAAGGGGAAGCCAAGAGGAGGGGCCATGGAGAATGGCACCAGGGCCCCTGGAACACCTGTGCTGTGACCTGGAAGAAGAGCCACAGTCCCTTCAGGAAAAGGGTGAGAGTCTGGAGGATGTGGGTGTGGGGAGCACAGTGCAGAGTAGTCCCCTAATCTCTGTTCAGAAAGTAGAGTTGAAAATCCCCAGTTGCCTTGAACTGAACAGCATAATCAATATCACAGCTAGTCCATTCTTCCTTAGCCCTGGTCACAGGAATGTAAGGAGCTCCTGTATTCCGCATGCCGCACAACTGGGTTTTCTCCATTTCTTACATAGCCACTCCCTCCACATGCTGCAAGTGCATCTTGGTGGCAGCAAATGTGGTAGACTAAGGAAGTGACAGCAACACTGATTACTATTGGAGAGCACACCCAGTAAGATACACTTTACAAGATGAAAATTACATTTATTGATTTATTTATTTATTTATTTAAAATAGATTTTATTGATTTTTTACAGAGAGGAGGAAGGGAGAGAGAGAGAGAGTTAGAAACATCGATGAGAGAGAAACATCGATCAGCTGCCTCCTGCACATCTCCCACTGGGGATGTGCCCGCAACCCTGGTACATGCCCTTGACCGGAATCGAACCTGGGACCTTTCAGCCGCAGGCCGATGCTCTATCCACTGAGCCAAACCGGTTTCGGCGAAAATTACATTTAAATAATATAAATTTATACCATAGCCACTGTGGTAGAGATGGATGACAGGAAAGATCTACTAAAAGCCACTCAATACTCTTACCGAACATTTTGAGCGAAGGTCTCTTCTTCTATATTTCTGCATTTGAATTTTATCAATGGGCATAGATAGAGAAAAACCATGACCCTTAAGCCCCTCTAAAATGGGGCCTAGGCTCTTATTGGGAAAGGATGAATGGTACACCTCTAATGGTTCCTTTCTCCCCTCACCAGCTCAGTCGGCTCCCTGGGTTCCTGCCGTTCCCCAGGAGGGGAGCACCGGAGATTGGGAGATGGCAGCTGCACTTCTTGCAGCCGGATCACAGGTGGGCTGTGTGCTGCCTTGGCCTCTCCCAGGGGTCTCATCACTGCTGCCTTTCTGTAAGCCTTAGCGTCCTCCCACTGAATTGTTATTTCACATGATCACGAATAGTATGTTCATCTTATAAGCGAATAGATTCTATCCCTTTCCAAGAGGCTCAAGATATCCTTTAAAAATGAATGAAGATATAACAAGAAAAGGAGAATTCCTAGAAGTTAGGTGTGTTGTTGTTTTTATTAAATGGCTGTGCTATCCACAGGGAGATTTTAAGAACAATTCATTAATATTCTTTAAGAGATAAATTTGTGAAGATTAGGAAAAGAGAACCTGAAGGAAGCTTGGAAGAGCATAAAGTGGGCAAGATTGGGTGGGTGATGGGGCATTTATGGAAAAGGGCAGGAAGAGACTAAGGCACATGTGCAGGCCATAATGCTACTAAATGGCAGAGCTAGGAGTTATTTGGCTCCAGAATCTGGACTCCTAAACACCATACTATGCTGCCTCAAAAGATAAGGACATGGCATGGTGGTGGGTGTGAGGGTGAATGTTTTATCTATATCCTTTTAAAAAAATTTTTTTCTTTATTGATTAAGGTATTACATATGTGCCCTTATCATATCGATATCATTTTGTGCTGATAGAAAAGGATGGTTTAAGTGGAGGAAGGAGAGCATAATACACAAATTTTTCAATGGAAATAATAAGGCCGGTGAGAAGAGACTGGGCAGACACTTACAGTTAAACAGAGAGAGCAATGATTTTCTGGTGTCTCCGACTTTTAGTCCCATTTGGGAGACACCTCTGGAGACACTAACCTCACTGACCATTACCTTTACCCCTCTCCTCATTTCCCCTTCACCCAGGGGCCACTGGGTAATTATTTTTCCAGACATTCTCTTGCCCTCTCTCTTCTACTGCCCCATCCTTTTATATTGGGATCACATTTTCCTTAAGGAGCAGCTGGTGACAGGTGATGCTACATTTTGTTTCAGGGCCTGGTAACCATCAAGGACGTGTCCCTGTGCTTCTCTCAGGAGGAGTGGCGGAGCCTGGACCCTTCTCAGACAGACTTTTATGGAGAATATGTCATGCAAGAAAACTGTGGGATAGTGGTCTCTCTAAGTAAGCATGATCCTCCCCAGCCACTAAAAGATTGTCCTCTGGGAGGCTGAGCCCTGTGCTTTAAGCATATTGGATAGTGTCTATCAAGGGTTCTTCACTTGTCAGGGGATCTGTCTTCCTTCCACCAGAAAAAGAGCACTAGGTCTAATTCAAGGAGAATAGAAGTGAGGCATCATTTTTAAAGACCGCAGCAAAATAATGCTGAGTCATGGAGAAGAGAACTTTAGGCTCCTCTCCGTTGGGAATTGGCAAGTTCTTACAAAACAGAGAGCAGGACATCTAAGAGATAGAACTGAGTCCTGGGAAACTCAGAAACCTTATAGGGAATGATGGGAGTTGAGGAGGGGGAGGGATGGAGAGATAGCTGTGTTGGAGCTAAATAAATGAAGTTGTGACCAAAAAGGACACTTGGGTTGGAAATATTTGAAATATAAGTGGCAGAGAACACACACATTGGGGAATAGTGTGTGATTTTCTGGCGGCGGGGGGGGGGGACACACACATAAGAAGAGCAACTTAAAAAATGGGAGGGGATGAGGAGGGTGAAGCTTGTATCTGGCCTTTTATCTAGAGTTCTAAGGACTAATATAGGAAACAGCTTTTCTCAGAAATATAGAATTACATTTGTACTAATTGACATCCCTATTTTCCTTTCCCATGGGCAGGATTTCCAATTCCTAAGCTGGACATGCTTTCTCAACTAGAAGGAGGGGAAGAACAATGGGTCCCTGACCCACAGGACTTAGAGGAGAGGGACATCCTGAGGGTAACATATACAGGTAAGAACCTAGAGTGGACTTTCAGGCATGGCCTTCATCCCTCTTGGAATGTGATCCTTCCATGTCCCTCTAATCCTTCCTCTGCCTTGGAGAACTGTAGAATCGAAAGATTTAGAGGTCTTTTATTTCAAAAGCAGGACAGTATAGCGGAAAGGTGTTAGAAGGCAGGTTTCTGGAGTTAAACTTTGTGGATTTGAATTCAGGACCTTGGAAAAGTGATTAACCTCTCTTTGGGTTCCTCATGTATACGTTATTGTGAGATTTAAATATGTTAACATAATAAAACAATACCACCAGGTACATAAAAAGCACCCAATAAACACTAGTTGCTGCTATGACTGTTGGTGGTGGTGTTGTTCAGCTTCCCACCTCTTACAGAAAGGGCTGCTGCAGTGTCTCTGGTATTGCTGACAGGTGGCCGGCCAGCCCGCGATGACTGCAGCACATTCCTTAACTCTCCATTTATGCTTCGGCAGGAAGATGGTAATTAATAGTAAAACTCAGTGGTAAATAAGCAACAGTAATAAATAAATCACAATAGCACAGACCATTTACTAAGTGGTTACTATGTGCAGGTACTGTGCTATCTATCTTAAATTATTTACATTTTACAAAAGAAATGAAGACTAACAGAAATTAAGTAGGAAAGCTGAGATTCTAAATTAGGTAGTCTGTCTCCTAAGCTTAGGCTTCTAACTTCTACACCTCTTGCACTGTCTTGTACAACATTAAAATCTGTTCTCTCAGTCTTTGTTGGGTGAGGTTTAGGCCCTAACAGACATCATATAACCTCACCTGTGACTTGGGGTCCTGAGGTCCTCTCTGGTGACTCCCATCTTGGGGTTGGTATTTTCCCTTCTCCACAGGAGATGGAAGTGAGCATGAGGGGGATACCCCTGAACTAGAAGCAGAACCTCCCAGAATGTTATCTAGTGTGTCTGAAGATACTGTTCTCTGGAACCCGGAGCAGGAGGAGAGCTGGGATTCCATGCCCAGAAGCTCCAGAGGAATGCTCCTGGGCCCACCATTTCTTCAGGAAGAGAGCTTCTCAAGTCTTCTGTGTAGCACAGAGATGGATTCCCTGTTAAGACCACACACATGCCCCCAATGTGGGAAACAGTTTGTGTGGGGCTCCCACCTTGCCAGGCACCAGCAAATTCACACCGGGGAGAGGCCCTATAGCTGCCTCAAGTGTGAAAAGAGCTTTGGGCGAAGACATCACCTGATCCGGCACCAGAAAACCCACATGCATGACAAGCCCAGCAGGTGTTCTGAGTGTGGCAAGAATTTCCGATGCAGCTCCCATCTGGCCAGCCACCAGAGAATGCATGCGGAAGGCAAATCCTGCAAAGGTCAAGAAGCTGGAGAGAGCCCTGGGGCTAGGAAACGGCAGCACACCCCACCGGTGCCAAAGTGCCACGTGTGCACCGAGTGTGGGAAGAGCTTTGGCCGACGGCACCACCTGGTGAGACACTGGCTAACCCATACTGGGGAGAAGCCCTTCCAGTGCCCTCGCTGTGAGAAGAGCTTTGGCCGTAAACATCACCTGGACAGGCACCTGCTGACCCATCAGGGACAGAGTCCCAGGAGCAGCTGGGACCGAGGGACATCTGTCTTCTGATTTCTGTTTTTGCTGTAGCTGTGGTCACATCTATCAGCTGGTGCTGCCAGGAGTCTCTGCCAGAGCTGCCCCTCTCCTGCCCCCGATGGCCAGGATCATGAGCCCTGGCCTCATCCCTAGAAAGATGAGGTTTCAGCATGGGCCAGAGCATTTTTCACCACTTCTGTGAGATACCACATAAAATAGAGTTCTTTGGGCAAAATTTTTGGGAAACAATGCTTACTGCATGGGCTGATATTCAGCCTGAGCCCATTCTCAAGGGTACAGTGGTACAGGCGGTTTATGGCTGAGGTCCATTCTGATGTGATTGGAGCCTATGCCATACCAATTGTTAAATATTTTTAGTATCACCACTATATACTATAACTCTTATATTCTCTTTACATTATATATGGAGAGAGAGAAAGACCATGTTGGCATATTAAAGGCTCTGAAAATGTATGCAGTGAAGCAAATTTTAAGCCTCTGAATGCAATGTTTCCTAAATGTATTTGACCTCAGTATTCTTTCTATCTCACATCCCACAGAACTGGTGACTCCATGAAACGCTCTGATAACACTGGGTTAGAGTAATGAGGAAATAGAAAAGAGACCCCTTTTTTTATCCAAGTGAAAGCTGAAGGGCAGCTCTCATTCCTGTGTGGGTCCATCACCTTTTCCCCAATCATCCAAATATACATCCACACCTCTCAACCCCACCTGATGAAAAATAGAAATAATAACCTTTTCACCCATGATTCCTAGTTCTTTATCCTGCACATATGTATATCCAGCTGAGAGATCATACTACCATGCTAAGAGATGGACCTTATACTCACAAGTAATCCAGACTCACACAGAAGAAAAAACTTCATCTCCTTGGACAGTCCCCCTCTTCTCTTGACTGTGTCTTTATGTGTCGATGTGTATCTGTGTGCAGGGTCTTTGAAGAGAGCATGCAAAGTGCAAACTGTAAAAGCTAGATTTTCTAGGGGCTGTGTTCTGGTGATGAGGGTAGTGGGGATTTTATGGGGTTTTGTTTTGTTTCAAGATAGGAAATAAGCTGATCTATTAAGGGAGCCCTAGTGGAAAGGATTATGTGATGGGTAGTGTTGTGGAAATTGAGGTATAAAGACTTCTTGAATGTCACTGAGATCAAGACCAGTGGATATATATTCCATGTCCGAATCTCTGGGCCACAGATTCTTTTTGCTTGAGGGGAGAGAGAAAGAAACATCCTCAGTGAGGTGGGCTCTTTCTTGTTGATTTCAAGCAAGATGCATATAGAAGCTTTATGCTGAGTGAGGGTTTTTTTGTTATGTGGTGTGTTTTCTTGTCTTGTTTTAAGTGCTGAGAAATTAGGGCAGGAATCACAGTGCTTACAGGTTGTTTTCATTACTCTTGTTTGACTTTGATGGCCTCATCAAGGGGGCAGAGTTATTCTTGAGGATCTTATTCTCTCCGAAACAGAACTTTAGGGGAAATGGCTGTGGTTTAGTTTTGCAGCTGATGCAGGGTAATGAGCTTTCCAATTGCTTTTCCTCACAATTCTGGGAAAGTGACCATGCTAAGACTCTTAACTCCAGGACTTGCATAATATTCTAGCATCTGTGCGTTGATGAGTTGATCATTGTTTCTCTTTATTGATGATGTGTTAATACCAGTGTTATAATTTAAAAATTATCTTGTATGTAAGAGCAGTTTGGGATTAGGGAGGGAGAGGCGTGGAGTGGAGCAAAGAGGATGAAAGTCAGTATTTTTCTCTTTAATGCTTAAATTCTGGTTTTTCCTTAATAGACTTATCTTTCAACCACAGTTGGTGGAATTAACCAGAGAGGTAATAAAGTGAGCTGTAACAGTCTAATTTCGTGACTGTCCCATTTGCTTAGGGAACATGGGGTGAATCACAGCTCCTCAGAGCCCTGGACCCATATGGACTTGAAAATAGGTCATTTTGCTGAATGGGCTTCTTAGAGTGGATATGACTTGATCAGCCCAGTCCCTGACTTCTGCTGCTCAGAGCAGTCTTCCTTCTTTGCCTGGAATGCACTTCTCTTGCTTGTATTGATATGACTAGAGCAAAATGGCCAGTCCTTTGTAAGGCGCCTTGTTCTAGGTTCTCATAGACAGGAGTGTTCTAGGATCAGTATTAGGAGATGCCCCAAGGAATAGAAAAGTATTGCCTTCCAGGAGTAAAACTGGACTATGCCATTTCTTTTACCCTCTCACTCCGCCTCATTCATTCATGCAAATCAGCTCTATTAAGCAGTGGTTCAGAACCTGTTTTGGATCACATACTGTTTTGAAGATCTGATAAAAACCAGGAACTCATTTTTGAAGAAATATACATTAGCAGTTCACTCAGTTTTTCATACACATTTAGTCTACCCATGGAATCACTTAAACTGGGGTCAAAGAAAGGTCATTATAGTATATTTATGTCAAGAAGTACAAGGCAATGGTCACTAAATATTTTAAGGAATGAGATACCAGAGGCAGTAGGATATAAGAATAGTCTGGTCTATAATGACTAGAAGGGTATTGCTTACAATCCACTCTATTTTTTTCTTAAAGATATGGTATACTAACAAATCCAGCTCCTCACAAACATTGTTTTAAAGACTTGTAGGAGGTGACTCTCCATACTATCAGATCACACTCTTAGTAATTAGATGTTAACCTCCAGCCTGTAATCTGTTTTAGTAATTGTAAGGCTAGAAAGTGAAGCCCCTAAAGTGTAGGTGCAGTCGTAGCACCCAACTGAAAGGCATCATGGAGTCTAAGGGTCTTCTGCAGAAGGGGCATCCCTTTAGGTCATTTCCGGTGTACCACTCTTCTTCTCTACCTCGGTCCAACACCACTTCCTTTGGACAAAAAATAAAATAAGCAACAGCCATCATATGGGCAAGTAGATTTGAATGATTTTTTCCACAGGGAATCAGCCTCAAACTCCCATCTTCCAACTGCCTCTGCCACATGTCCATCCTAACTGCTTTAAATAAAAAATGTCTCTGTGTTCTCTCTGGGCAGAATGTAAAATAGGGAGGTCCCATATAAGAAACCTGTCACCTTTTCCCCTCTGTGGTACCTCTATTCAAGGCGCAGGTATCTTCCCCTTTGCATCCCATCAAAGTATCTGTAAAGAATCCCTTACACAGGAGAATGTGACCCAAAGTGTTAGCTTTACCCAGATCTGTTTACATTTTAAGTGTTCTGATATCTGGTAGTGGAAGTGGAAGGAAAATCTTTTCCCCTGTTAAAATGATGTTATGCCTTTAGGGAGCTGAAGGTGTGATATAATTTGGGACAAAATCCTTCCCTTTCCAGCACTTGTGCAATCAAACTGCTGTTATCTATTTATATCAAGGATAGGGTGAGCCCTGACGCAGAACCATGGGTACCAGAACCATGGGTACCAGAACCATGGATGGGAGTGAGTGGGACTAGGCAGTAACAGAAAAGTAAAATCTATTCTCTTAGACCCCTTAGAGATCCTGAGCTGGCAAAATTTTTCTTTTCCCTGGAATGCTCTAATAGGCCTACGCTCTCAAAATGTGTGATCTTTGGTCCAGCAGCATCAATATCATCTGGCAGCTTGTTTTAGAAATGCAAATTCTCAGGCTCTACCCCAAACACACTGAATCAGAAACTAGGGATGGGGTAATGCAGGGGAGCCCAGCAATTAGTCTTTCAGCCTCTCTTTCTGGATCTCTGAGGTATGCTCATGTTTAAGAACCTCTGGCTCAGAGATTCAAATTCCATTTCAATCAGCGGTACAGCACCCTCTTCAAATGGGGAAAGAGGGGATCTTTACATATGTTGTCAGATTGATTTTCTGCAGCCTCTCCAAGCTAGTTGTTTTTCGGTTCTATTCCTCTTGAGTTCCAAGGCCTTCCTTCACTCTTTAATCAATGAAAGGACTGGGTCAGTCACCAGTTTCAGAAACTGGTGGGGCAACTACCACGTTGCTGTGATTGATTGGGGCTGGAGCTTCTAAAGTGGACACAGGATTTGTGGGTCCAAAAACCTGAAAGGACAAAAGGAACAGACACACCAAAGGGGAAATCCAATGTAAAGCTGAAAAACTGACAACCAAGGAAATGGTCCTCCTTTGCTAGTTATCTGGTCCTTTTCTGGGCCTTATAGTTGCCCTAGAGGCAGACTAGGTGGACATTCAGCACAGAGGTAGGGAGTAAAGCCAACTGTCCCAAGCCCTTAATCCAAGTTTTCCAACTTCAGAATGCATGGGAGAACAATAAGGTGCTATGTAAGGAATTTCTAACCAGGATTTGGTCTACTGTATGGGCACGGGCAGCAGAGAATCAGGGAGCCCTGAGGACATAAGAGGGAACCAGGCTCATTTAGTAAGATGTGACTCCAGGGAGATTTGAACCCAGACTCTACTAGGTAGAGGTTATAACCCATTAAGCCATGGCACCTATGTCAAGAATGCATTCTCCTGCCCTGGTCAGTATGGCTCAGTTGGTTGGGCACAGAAAGGTTGCCAGTTCGATTCCCAGTCATGGCACATGCCTGGATTGTAAGCTCGATCCCTACAGGGGATCGTGTAGGAAGCAGTTGATTGCTCTTAGGCTCTCACATGAATGTTTCTCTCTCTCTTCCCTTTCCCCCTTTCTCTCAAAATCAGTAAAAAAAAAAACAACTTTAAAAATTGTCTATTTAAAAAACACTACATTCTCCTACTTTGAAGATTCTGTCCAATTCAGGCTTCAGGAAGGGATCATTACCTCCTCCAGCTCCTCTCCTAGGCCTGCTCATGAGGACAGGCTGAAATGAAAGTTGCAAACCTGCCACCCCTATGGGAATCTCCAAGGCTAAAAGGTTAGAATGAACCTACCTCTCTTTGGGGGAGGTGATCAGCCCCTCTCCCCTAAGGCAGAAAAGAGCTTGGCTACTGCTTTCTTCAGCTCCAGACCTCAAGCTCTCTCCCTTTTTCCCTTCCTGTCAGCACTTCCATATTCCCCAAAAAAGAGCTCATCCCCCACTCTTTTTTAAAGGACATGTTTTATTTATTTATTTATTTATTTATTTTAAAATTTTATTTTAGAGAGAGAGGGAGAAACATCAATGTGAGAGTGAAACATCGATTGGCTGCCTCCACACACGCTGACCTGGGACCGAACCCACCGCCTGGGTAAGTGCCCTGCCTGGCAGGGAATCAAACCTACAACCTTTTGGTATATGGGACAACGCTCCAATCAACTGAGCCACACTGGCCAGGGGAGCTTCCTACACTCTTAACTCCCACTTCTCTTTTTCAGATTGATTGGTTTGGTTCAGTATTTTGTTTTGTTTTGTCTGGGAAATATCACACCTTCCTGAAGGTGTTTGTTCTTCCCAATCCCTGTCTTCCTTCCATCATAGTTCCTCTCTCTTGTCCAGTTTCTTTTCTATCAGCCTTAAGCCTACTAAGCAGGGTCCATTCCATATATTTCCCACTTTCTTTTCTCAAATTCTTGGCTTGGCTATAGCAGCTCAGCTGCCATCTCACCGTTCTGCATCTCTCTCTCATATCCGGACTTAGCCAAAGTTGCTGGTACCATCAGCTCCATTCCCTACAGGCTCTTCTTCCCTTGATGTAACTTTTTACTTTTCACTATTTTGATTTACTCAGTCCCTTTTTATCTCTTGTGGCTCCTGAGAACTAGTTCCAATTCTACAAGCCATTTTTTGAACTCTTCGCTACATGGTAGGCACTGGCTGTTCCAGGCCTGGGGGATTGTGATCATGGACCTGTACTCAGCATGTTCCTCAGCGGAGCCCTCTCCTGCCATCACTTTCCTGCCATGCCTCATGACACTGTGCTCCAAGGTGCTCTTTTCCAGGAAGCATTGTGGGTATATGCCTACTTGCCATCAAGCCCAATTGCTCCGTGCCTGCCAGATTTCTAGCAATTGTCTGACTTAATTCCCTCAGATGGACTGTGAACTTCCCACAGATTACTCAGCGAAGGACCTTCGTCTGTATCCTTAGGGATCTATAATACGCTCTTTATGATCCCTGTCATTGAATAAAGAATGTATTGACTCAGTCACTGACTTCCTTTGTTGGTCCTCTCCTCTACTCTCCCCCCATTCTCAGCAATTCAGTCCTGATTAAAAAACCAACACAAAAACTGCAATAGAGTAGGGACCCGAGACAGATCAGGGAAATCCCAGGGGAAGTAGGGCAGCCATGTGTAAGTCCCCTCACTGTCCTTCCTGAAATATAAACCTTCAAGGCATCACAACATAGGCCTCTCTGCCTCCCTCCTGAAGTCCTGGCTCCCAGATGTCACTCCCCAGTCGGGGATTCAACTCATCTTGGAGACTGAGGTAGCAGAGCATAGAGCTGGGCCAGGCTTAGGGGGAGGCCAGGTCAGGTGAGTGAGGAGGGCTTAGGGCACAAATTTAAGGAAGCCCTTGGTCTCGGTTATTCAAGTGCCAAGTCTCCTCTTGGGAGACCCTTAGAGTGCTGAGCCCTTAAAACTTAGACAGCCGAGTCTGGAACCAGCTGGTGGTGGTGACTGCAAAATGACACCCCAGGCAAATTCACAATATTTTATTTGAGGATAAAAAAAAAAAAGTCAATTTCTGAATTGTACATTTTCTAAACATTAGCTTTTTCACTTAAGATCTAAGAGATTGAGATGAAGGTGAAATTAAATAATGCATGCAAAAGCACAATCATCTTATAAACGAAAAAGCTGTAATTGATGATTGCGTGGACATTTCTACACAATTTATATGATTCTGAAAACAAATACAAAAAAGTTATGGAGTCTAATTTCTGTGTCTCCTCTACAATTCCCATCACCTTCCCCTCACAACAGAGGACCAGTTTTTTGTGTATCCTTTCAAGTTTCTTTATTCAATACAAAGAAATACATTTTTCCTTCATTGGTATGGTCGTCTTGTTTTTTCCCCCCACTTAATGTATCTTGGGGAGCTTGTCATAATAATACATAGAGAACCTCCCTTTTTTTCTTACAGCTTCAGGCTATTTTACTGGAGGGAAGTTTCATGCTTTAACCAATCTCCTCATGCTATTTAGATTATTTCCTTTTTTGTTGTTGTTGCTGCAATGCTGCACTAAATACATTGAACATAAATATTTTCACCAATGCACTAATATCTAAAAGATAAACTCCCAAGTGTAGTTCAGCTGGGTCAAAGGATATCTGAATTTGCAATTTGGAAAGCCAAATCCCCTCCATTGGGGTGGCAGAGATTTACACGCCCACTAACACTGTATGTGAGTGCTGGTTTCCCCACAGCCTCACCAATGGAGTAGGTTCCTAAACATTTTTGGATTAAAATTATTGTTTAATGTGCATTTATCTTAGGAGTAGAATTGCACATTTTTCATGTGTTTAAAGGCCATTTGTATTTTGTTAACTTTTTTTCAATAACCATTGAATATTTGATGCTAAGAGCATTTAAGTTTCATTACAACTCTAAAGTCCAACAATTTTCTTTCTTTTTTTTTTTAAAGTCCAACAATTTTCTGATCATCATTGCACTGGGCTTTTGAGATAAAAGGGAAGCAAAGAATTGAGGTCACGGATGTTCCATTTACTCTGACTGAAGTTAAATGCCCAAATATGCCACTATATTGTGAGCAATGATAAGTGGGGATTATGTTTTATCCATCTTTATTCCCAGCAAAAGGCCCCGCATATTGCAGGACTTAGTCATAGTGAACACTAGTGATGAGATCAGCTATTCTTGGGAATTCCTCCCACAGAAGTACCCAGCTAGGATTAGGATCTAGATAATTTTGATAGTCTGCCAATGAGTTAAGGTTATTTTTCTATTTCATCAGAGCACAGCCACCCTAAAGCTTAATGAAAAATAATCAGAAATGATCATTGTTAGCTATATAAGATCAGGGTCTGTCATTTAATAAATTTGGTAAGTTTACTAATAAATGAAGAAATCATAATAGAACACAAGTGTGATGTTCTTAAGAAATCTAGAAAACAAATTGTTACCAGTGTTCTTTCCTACCAATCTTAGGGGAAAAGACGTCCTAATTCTAGACCATCTGGTTCTTTAGGTAAAAATAACTGGGACACTAAAGGGGCAATACATGTGGCTATCATAAGAACACTTGATTAAGTTTGTTCTAATTGTGTTTCTCACTGCCTCTTTTAGATGGCTCTCTAGTCTTTTTTCTTTAAATTTTTATATTTCAATTACAATACAATTCAATATTACTATATAATAGTTTCAGGTGTGTAGCAGGGTGGTTAGATATTTATATAATTTATGAAGTGATCCCCCTGATAAGTAGTACCCACCTGGCACCCCATACGTAGTTATTACAGTATTATTGACTATATCCCCTATGCTGTACTCCACAGCCCCATGACTATTTTGTAACTACCAATTTGTACTTCTTAATCTCTTCAGATGGCTCCCTATTCTGATTCTGTTTCTGCTTGCTTCATTCTGCTGCTCACAGACAATGTAAGAGCACATATGCCTAATTACAGCAGGGGGAAATTTTAAAGTTCAAATCATCTATGAATGAGATATCAGACTCTTCTGGGAAAAGCTGATTTGGCATACTCTGCAACAAGCTCTCAGGTTGTTCTCCCACTTTCCCACCTCTCACCTTCACTCACCTCTTTTCAGGAAAAGCACCTCTAAGGTGCTTCCCTTTCCCCCCACTCCTTTGGCTTCAGCTGGAAACATCATTTCCCTGAATCAACTACTCTGCTGTTTCCCTTCCTAGCAACCCTCTACCCCACAAGGCTTCTTCCAGAACCTTGGCATATCTGGATAGTGTTCCAATGAACTGAGCTACCTGGCCAGGGCTCCCTAGGAATCATTTCTGTGTCCTGTCATGGCCGATGGCATGAGAACTACTCCCATCTATTCTTAACTCCCACATTCAGAACTAAAAGGAATCATACATTTGCTCCATATTTTATATATAGTGCTCAATACATGTTGTTTTTTCAGAAAAGCAAAAGAACTAGCTATTCATTATCTAACCTTCCCCATCTCCTTGTGTTTCTGATAATGCATTCTAGAATAGTTTACTCTCTAGGAGTTGGTACTTTCCCAGTTGAAAATTCCCTTATTGAATTTTGTCAATCAAAGCATATGTGATATTTAAGTCCTTCTTATTCTACTGACACTTAAAATCATCTTAGTTCAATACCAATTTTTCTTTCTCTTCCTTCTCTCTCTCTCCCCCCTCTTCATATCCTTTCCTTTTCCTTCCTTCCTTTCCTTTTTCCTTCCTTCCTTCCTCCTTCCTCTCTTTCTC